TTTATTGACTATATAAAAATATGTATTTTTGTTTTTTACTACTTTAATAATTTTTTTTCTCATATTGTTATCAGGTTTCAAAAAATTAAGAGTCATCGATGCAAGGAAACCGGTTTTTGGAATAAAGTGATTTAGAATTCAATTTGGCATCTAAACAAGTTATTGCAAAAATGTTTTATTATCGGGCAATAAATTGTGTTTTAATATTTATAAATGACATTTGAAAATGACAAGTATTTGTCTATAATAATCTTAAATAAAAATTCATCAAATAATTAATAACTAATTTTAAAATAAGAACCGACTGCTTCTCGTCCGTTCGTGCTCTCAAAATTCTATACTAATAGTTATTTTAGAGTTTATTTTAATTTTTTCTTTTTATTTTTTCAGTAGTTGATACTTTTGCCTTAACAACAAAGGTTTGAGGTTTTTAAAAAGCAACCCAAAGGTTGGCATATTCGTATTTTTCATATATTTCTATTATTAAAAGTTTTCCAATACCAGTCATAAAATTCTCAAATTGATGCAGCAATTATGATTTCTTTTGTTCATATGTTCATATGCATTTTATTAATTGAAAAAAAAAATTACTGTAAGTAATAGTTCAGAAATATAATAGTAATTTGATTTTAATTATATATAATAAAAAATACAAGATTTTGTATATAATTATATATATTTATAATATTATATATTTTTCAATTATTTTTAACTATACTTCTCACAATAAGATTGCATATGCATGTGCATTTTTAATAGATCTTATAGTTATTTTGCAATTTTGCTTACATGACATACAAATAAAACAGCAATTTTTGAAAACACACTTTTCATGTCTTAGAATAAAAATGACATGAAAATTGATATTGTGACTTTGCAATTGTAATTTTTATATATTTAAACAAATATGTATATATATATATATACATATATATCTAACGTTAATTATATATATATATATATATATATATATATAAATATATATATATATATATTTAACGTTTTCTGGTATTTATATAAATATATAAAAATTACGATTGCAAAGTCACAATATCAAGTTTCATATCATTTTTATCCTAAGACTTGAAAAGTGTTGTTTGAAATTTCTGTTTTATTTATATATATATATATATATATATATATATATACTTATATACTTTTGCATATAAGCATGAGTGATTGCATATTATATTTAAGCATGACTAGTTTGTTTGGACTTTTATCACCATATTAATATTTATTATTCTATTTATTATCTTTTATAGATGCTTTGTGAATCTGTTACGAATATCGCAGCTGTTTTTTATAAAAAAAATCAATGAATTTTTATAAAATGATCTACGAAGTTATGATGACTCAGATGGTCTAGACACATCACGATATCATAATATATAAACTAGTTCTGACTTATTTTATTAAAAAAAGTTGGATCTGTTCACATGGCAGTATTTTTAATTTTTTTACATTATTAGGATAGAAATAACAATATGATGATAATAATTAGCAAACTTAAGGCTTATGTCTTTCTATTGATGAATTGTATTTCTTGTATTAACCCTTTCCACTCGGATGCCAAAATGAAAAGGTTAATTATTATAATTATATTATTGTGTCAATGAAAAGTAAAATTCACAGTAGTAACTATGTTACAAAATACACAAATATAATTTTTTTTCTGATAGATATAACTTCATTTTCTAAAGAAAATTAATTACTTAAAAAGAATTTAAAATGTTGCCCCAAATATTTTTAAATTGCAGAATTAATTTCACACATGAATTTGAAAGGAAATAAATTACTATGTCGACAGTTTCTTTGGTTCAAGTCGTTTATTTATATGTTTAATCAATTAATATGTCTGTTATTTTTATTAGGAACAAGGTGAATGGTAATTGCACAAATACATATGATTATTATTTTTCATTTATTTCGCATGATGTTAATTGAACGGTTTTGATTTCAACGACCGCGATAAAAGCCGATGGTTTTTCATTAATAATGTTTTTTCCTATTTCCAATCTAATAAATATTTGCTCTAATAAAAGATTTTTTATAAAATTTAAAATCATATAATTATATAAAAATTATATAAATTTTTTTTTGACGTTGAGACAATTAAACTTGAAATCAATAGCATCCAATTCGTCGAATAAAAAATGTCTTAAAAAATCATGTCTGACCTTTTTCAGTAATTCAAACATTTTTAGATCTGATTATATTTATGCAAATTGAAATATAAAGTTTTTTATATATTGTTTCCTAATAATAATTTTTTGAATTGTTTATTAGAAAATTTTCTGTATCATGAATTTGCGTCTCTATATTGTTCATATATCTATTATTCAATCATACATTAATGCATATATTATTTTATTGAATACTAATTTTATTGTATGTTAATTTAGGTTTGAAATTATTGGGCTGGTAATTATAAATAAACAAAGTGCAAATAAATAACTATACTAAAAGTCATGATAGATTTATATTGGTATGACTATATAACGTTGGATTAAAATCTGATAGATCGAAGTAGGTTTGAATATGAATTATTCCACTTGACTTACATCCTACGTTTATACATTTATTTTTTGAATATTTTTTCTAAATAGTTTGTATACCATAAGTAAAATTCATACCTGATTTGGTATAACTATTAGAACTATAGGTTTTGCAAAAAAACCCTCTAAAATCCGAATTTACAAAACGACTCAATTTTTTAATAATTGTTAACTAGATACTAAATTATATGGAGCAAATACAAATCACGTATGTCTTGAACGTATTCAAAATTAAACTAGTGGGGTGGGTGGCATCGTGCCTTAAGGCAAATTGCTGGAACTTCCCGTACCGTAACGAAATGTTCGAGGAATATTGAATGTTTTCAAATAGATTATTATAAATATTGTAACATTGTCTAATATTTATAAGAATTATATAAACTAAATTGCAGAGTTGAAATTATTTGTTTAAAGTATATTAGAACTATAGTCAGAATTAAAAATAAAATCTGAATTATTTTCGATATACAAAAAATTAAAAACGTCGAGAAATGTAAAAATTTTCAATTCCGATTTTCGGCCCATTACAATAACTTACCCTAGGGGAAGTTAATAATCTACTGCTTTTAAAAAAAAATTCAGAACCGTATTGTATTGTATATATATATATGTATTGTATTGTATTACTCGTAGACTGTAATTGAAAATTATAAAGTGAAAACATCGTTTGCAAAAGTGCATTTAATTTAATATAATAATAGATTTAGATATGTTTTTTATTTTTAGTATTTATGTTTAGGAATATATAAATAATAGTAAGCAAACAAGAAAAAAATATTTAAAAAAACTAGATGTAAGTGGCATTTTACCATAAAGTAAATTGCATGAATTTCTTGACATATGTAAATAATTGATTTAATCAATAAAAATTATAATTAATCAAATTGTTACAAATATAAATTCATAGATCTTTAATTATTCCAAACGTTAATAAAAATTTATAACTATACCAATTTTCCTCTCTCTATATTTTTTAGAATGCTCTCTATAAACTGTATGCAAATTTTCTTTACAATTGTTACTATTTCAATCTTTGATTATTCTAAACGGTAATGAATCTTCATAATTATCCCAATGTTCTTCTCTCTATATTTTTTACGATGCTCTCTATGAACTCTACGTGAATTTTCTTCACAATTGATCATTACAATTTCGATCTTTAATTACCCCAAACGTCAATGAATACTTATAATTATACCAATTATTTTATTTCTATATTTTTAGGATGCTCTCTATAAAATCTATGCAAAGTTTTTTTATTATAAACCTTTGTGAAAAAAAAACTAATCGGCATGTCTGTAAAACATTTTTTGAATTTTCAAAGTCGGTTCAAAACTTTTGGCACTTGCTGATGAATTGTACACAATTTTATTATAAATGTTCATAATTATACCAATTCTCATATCTCTATATTTTTTAGAATGCTCTCTATAAACTCTATGCAAAGTTTTTTTACAATCGATCTTTATGAAAAAAAAAACAGCATGACACCCAACTGATATCTTTCAAACAATTTTTGAATTGTCAAAGTGAATTCAAAACTTCTGGCGAAAACTTTGAGCAAAAATGTTACACTTATATGCAAATTTGAAAAAAATAACGGTTCTGCTAATTGTACCGCAGTCGACGTTGCAATTTTTGCAATCAGTTCAGCCGTTTTTGAGAAAATATCGACAAAAGCTCAATTTATTATCCACGTACAAACTTACTTTTTCCAATTTAGGTGTCAAACGCTTCAGAACAACCCAAAACGTCGAGAAAATATAAAAATAACAGATTCGATCATCTGACCAAAACAAACTTAGGATGTTAAAAATTTCTAAAAAAAAATTATAACAAAAATGGATAGATTGGGCAAAATCGAGTAATTGAATTTAGGTGATCGCCAACGATGGAACCAACTGATTATCCATTTTTTTCCTCTGTAATTAAATATTGTTATATAAACGCCTATATATAAATGTCCTTGAATGAGTCCTTGGATGAAAACCTAATAATCTTTTGACAAGGTAATCTTGTATATTCTAATCCTTTACTAGGCCGTGAAGACCTACGATGCCCTGCTTCATTGTCAGAATTCACACCATCAAATGCCTAGTGAGATTTCAGTGTTACGCTTTAAAGGTCGCATTTTTATTAAACTTAATAAATATTCTTTTCTTTTTCAAACGAGGTATATCATTACATTGAATAACAACACCATGAGCTTATTTTAGAATTTTTATAAATAATTATTCTATGTCCCAAATGACACTGTGAATAACTATAATAATTGATAAACAGTCTTTTCTGTGTCGAAGGTTAATTATTCATTCAGTGCGAAAGACAATAGTTGTTTATTTTGTATCATGTGCTAAGCTGGAAAGTTTTGATAGTTATTCATAATTAACGTTATTTAAAATTTAAAAATAAATTGCGAGATTTGCAGTGCAGATAAGAACCATGACTGAAAATAGTGACAATAATGAAAATAAAGAAGCTGATACTTTGCAAGTACCAGGCAAAGATGGAGACTCGAATAGACTACCTGGGTAAGATATTTGTAAACGAATTAAAGTTATTAACATGTTAATCGCCATATGTGTCTGACACTAAGAATTTATGTCAGAAATATGTGTGACACATGCATTTTTGGTACAAGGAGAAAAAAGTTTTAGTTTAGGGCCACATCAGTCACATACATGTGATATTAAATATAGTTTTTTCAGGAATTTTGGTAATTTTTTTTTATTTGATGCCATAAGTTTTCTTGATACATTTTTTAACTGAATTATATTATAATGTTACCATGACCCATATGAAAATTTTGATACTATCATGGCAATTAACGTTAAATTATCTTACACAAAAATATAAGACAAAACTTAGTTTTTTTCAATATATTACTTTTCAATCAATGTCAGCCAAATTGATGAATTGTACACAATTTTCGAACTTATTCGTCAAAAAAAAAATAATTGTCGACATTGAAAGTTATATATATATATATATATATATATATATATATATATATTTATAAAACTAATTTTATTCAACCGGTGATGCATACAAATTTTATTTAAATGCCAAAGGGCATTTTATTTGATATTATTTGACAAAAACTGTTGAGTTTTTCACAGTGGTGCTTTCAAAACTATATTATTAATAATTTATTTATTTATTTATTCATAAGCAAGCCGTAATCAATAATAATAGATAAAAATTCAGATTGTGCAAAATATAATATATATTTTTAATACTAAATAATTAAAATATGATTTAAAATAACAAAAACTATTTGAGGTTACAACATACAACTACAATCAGATTTTTTAAAATATTTTTTTTATAAATCAAAATTATTGACTTTTAGTAAGAACTCTATTATTCAATTATATGTTTTATAGTCTTATACCTTATATATTTTTTAACTATATGCTTATATCGTTCTTGAGCCTTGAATAAAATCCTGTTCATTTGTTCTCTTAATTAATCAATTGGTAAAAATTGCACTTGTGCCAGGCGGTCAAAAAGTGCATAATTTTTGCTAATTTTCGTAAAATTAAAAATGAAAGCTCAAAATTATTATTGTTAATTTAAGGCTGTTTTAATCCGCCTTTGAAATTTTGCATTCGACAATTTTCTCGTTCATAACGTGATGTTTCATATAAACATACTCGTTATAAACACCGTTTTCAGATATTCGATGAGTAGTCGTAATTATATTATTGACAAAATTAGATTAAAACTTATACATTCTAAAAACAAAAAGAGACAATCTGAGACATTTGAAATTTGAGACAAATCATGCTTTCAGAAAAACTTAGGACTCAAGGTGGAAATTCGGGACTGTCACCTCAACACAAACACATTATACATACATATATAAGTATATACAAAAATGTGTATATTCTGGATTTTCTCTCTTATTATCAAAATTAATTAAACATTACTAACAAAATTAAATAAACTTAATTAATAAAGATGTCCATCTACACAAATCTAGAACCAAATACTTCTAAATATCTAATATTGAATCTGCTAAACCTTCCTGAAAAAATGTAATAAATTACTCACTCAATCAATACAAATGAGATGTTTTTTGAATCATTCTAATCGGATATGCCATTCACTCAAAAACTGGTTATTTTTGGACTTTTTGCATTGTATCTCTGAAACGGATAGACGTGCCTTTGCCAATAGCTAATCAGCATGTCTCTGCGTCAATACCAATCGAATGGTACCTGAATTATCCAAATAGGTTGATCCGTACGCTCAAAATCGTCGACGAAAAATTGTATCCACACATACGCACATACAAGCACACTCACACAATCATACACACATTCATTTCTAAGGTATGCAAAAATTTTCAAAAACCTCCGAAACGTAAAGATATGCAAAAAAAATCAGTTTTAATTTTTGGACAATTACAATAACTTACTCTATGGAAAGTTAACAGAGAATCTCAATTAATTGATAGAGGAGTCTAAATATACAAATTTCAAAACCAAATACTAAACATTTAATAAAACTAGTTAGAAGTGGCATTTAGCCTTAAGGCAAGTTGCATGAACTTTCCAAAATGTGTGAAAATTAACTTAAACAATTGAAAATGGAGATATTTAGATAACATTTTCAACTATTTATTTCAAAAATAAAATTATCGTTTTCAATAAAATCTAAACATTGCGATTTTTAATTGAATTTTCTCATATAAATTTAAATGAATCTATGTCTAGTATAACAATGTACCCAAAACACAATTAGTATATGTTTTGAAACCAAACAACCTACTCCGCCACAATATGCCTTGTGTATGCCTATCCAAATGTATTTCCGTAAATTGAGTATCAACGGCGGTTGCGCAGCCGAAATAAATATAATCTATGTCTTGTGACAGGATCACACAACCCATTTTATGCGAACGAATAGGGCACGCTCCTATCCCCCACGGGAGGCTTCATTCAGGCGGACGGATCTATCACATATTTTCAATTGGGACGAAATCTAGATTTGTGGCGGCGGTGCGCTACGAGATAAAAGACATTGTACTATATACAATGTAGATTTTCCGAATAATATATGTTTTGAAATATGTATTATTCTTTACATAATTATCTGTGTTGTGAGATTTTTTTGAGTATGATTATGCAACCGTAAATAATTATGATTATAATTCAATATTGATTAGACAAAAATGTTATAATTATTACAATTATATATATATATATATATATATATATATATTAGGGTGGTCCTTAATATTGACATTTTCGAATTTTCTTGCTCCCAAGGGCTCAAATGGTTCCAAATTGATAAAAAACAATTCTCTGAAAGTTTTATCACTTAATATTGTCTTTTAGATAGAGCGCAATTCAATCAAAGTTTTGTATGGAAATAGCATGAAATTTTTTTCAAAAATTTTGCAGGGCGTCGAATTTTCAATAAAAAATGACACGAATTTTCATTTTGAATTTATTTGTCGCTAAGTTATACCTAAAAAAAAATTTTTTTTAATTTACACAATTTTTTCCATGCTATTTCCATACGAACTTTGATTGAGTTGCGCTCTATTAAAACGTTAATATTAAGAGATAAAACTTCCAGAAAATTGTTTTTTATCAACTTGGAACCATTTTAGCCTTCGGGAGCAAGGAAATTCGAAAATGTGCAAATTAAGGACCACTCTAATATATATATATATATATATATATATATATATATATATTAGGGTGGTCCTTAAAATGGTCATTTCCGAATTTCTTTGCTCCCAGGGGCTCAAATGGTTCCATATATATAAAAAAAAATTCTCTGAAAGTTTTAGCTCTTAATATTAACGTTTAGATAGAGCGCAATTCAATCAAAGTTTGTATGGGAAGAGCATGGATAAAATTTTGAAAATTTAAAAAAAATGTTTTAGGTATAACTTAGTGACAAATGAATGAGTTTTATTCATTCATTTCTTCGCTAAATTACATCTAAAACACATTTTTAAAATTTTTGAAAATTTTTCCATGCTCTTCCCATACAAACTTTGATTGAATTGCGCGCTCTATCTAAACGTTAATATTAAGAGCTAAAACTCTCAGAGAATTGTTTTTTATCTATTTGGAACCATTTGAGCCCCTGGGAGCAAAGAAATTCGAAAATGACCATTTTAAGGACCACCCTAATATATATATATATATATATATATATATATATATATATATATATATATATATATATATATGTATATATATTTATATAATTATTATATTATATATAATATTTAATAGTATATTACTACATTATAATCATAATAACATTAATTATACTCACTAATATTGTATTTAACACATATTTACAACTGGGACCAATTCTGAATTGGTGGCAGCGGTACATCAGTATTCAATTTTTCTTATACGAATGAAATCATATAGCAATAAATAATTTCGATTATATTATAATACAAATTTATATTATTCATTGTAATTTTAATTACAATAATAACATAATATATAAATAATTTCATTATTTAGATACTACAGACAAAAATATTATTGGTTATTTTTTTTATCTTTGAGGAAAAACACATTAGGTTCATACTTTATGATAAGATTGCTCTACAAAATCTCGTATGCATTACTTTGTTTTTTCATAGTAAGAATCATAATAAGTATATTAACTAATAATTATAATTTTAGTGTTTTTTTATTTCAAGAAAATCATGAAATGATATATGATAGGAATTTTTACTAATAAATTATTGAGTATTTTTTATAATTTTAATTTCAATTCTAAGAAAAAATTATAATGTTGTATAGTAATAAAGTATATCATAATGTAGTTTTTACTACTACTACTTCACTAATAGTATAACACTATTAGTATAACTATCAATTAAGGAGTTTTTTTTTATTATAATAAGGAAACATTGTAATGTTGTATAGTCATAAAGTAGTTTTTTTTATTTTAAAAATGATAAAATTGAATAATAGTATGTATTATTGGTTTCAAATAAAACTTTGAGCTCTCATTTGAGCATAGAACTAGGTGTAATTTTAATTTGTATTTTTTAAAGATGGCAAAGGAGACCATAAGTTTTAAGAAATTTTTTTCATATTATTTTTTATTATAACAATATTAATTATATATTATTAGATTATTCTCTAGATCTGTTTTATTATATGATAAATTCATTTTTTCAAAAATAATTATAAACATAAAATGAAACCCCATATTCAATATATGCCTCATGTTTACTAAAACTTTAAATATTTCTGTCATTTTTATAGAGGTTTAAGAATCCACTACTATTACGTTATATACTAGCTATTACGTTAATTTAGGAATTTCGGTATAGGTAAAACTGTGTATTTTTTTCTAGATTTCTGCATTTGAACCGGTTAGGATATCGCGTTGCCTTCACTGCCTCGGTCAAGTGAGTGGAATTGATAATATAATTATTATCATTTTCCGAAAAAATGAATTAGAATAGTTAATTATTTGAATTATGAATATTTTATCAATATACATTTTTAGATATAAAATTGAATATATTAATTTA